TTAATATGTTGTAATAAAATTTAAATTTAAAATTTTTTACGAATCAAGCATATTTATAAACACTTGGGAATCTTGAAAATGGATAGTTTGGATGACTCGTCACAATATGAACTATTCATATCCACACATCTTGAGGTCCAGATGATCTAATGAAAAGTTCTCCGAAATCGGGACACTCTTTTCTAAAAGATATTTGAGGTGAACCTTTCTTTAACAGTACAACATTGAAATATAAGATAAACTTTTCCTTAATTTTAAAAATTAACTTAATGAAAAAAGTCTAAAGGTATTTTAATTTTAAGTTCAAACCTAATTATGATTTAACTTAATGAAGAAAGTCTAAAGGTACTTTAAGTTAAAGTTCAAACGTAATTATGAAAGCCTTTATTGTTTTTTTTTTTTTGGTCTTTTGGAAGTCTTAAAATATTGTTGTTCACACATTATTTTTTGACCGTTGCTACCAATAGTAGGTGGGCTGTCACGTCAGGTGAATTTAGACCGTCCATTCCCAATCCAAGGCGTCGAAGATCAACGGTTCCCACACCAAATCCAGAGGCAAAGCCAAATAAACAATTGTGTAATAATAAGACGGTTGAAAAATCATGAGGAAAACGACATTGCACTTTGCTCAAAGTATGTTCTCTGCGAAGTTATGAAGCGTCTATTTTCTTGTTAGATATATTTGTTCTAGGTGTTAGATGCACCCTCGAGATCTTGAAGCTACGGAAATATTCAAATTAAGAGAGGGAGAAGTCTACTAAAAACAGGAAAATTGTTTCATGCGGGCTGGACCGCATTTCTACATATGCGGTCCATAACGTGTAAAGCATCCATCTTAACGATGGATGCAAGTAGGTGTTCCATCTAAAAACAATGAAAACTAGCGGTCTAAATGTTTCCTTATTTGAATTATTATTTTTAGTTTTTTAAATTTATTTGTTTTTTCATATTCATTGAGACATGTCCTAAAAAATTAAATCTTAAAATCTATCTCAAAAATAGATTTATTAAAAGCCCCGTATTTCTACATATACAGGCTTGGGCTTGGCTGCGTAGAAACCTGGTCCAAAAATAAAAAAAGAAAAATTAAATAACTCTGAAGAATAGACTTCGTATGCAACTTATCTCCAACCAAACTTTTTTTCATACTTTTTATCCCCCAAAATATACTTTTTTAGCAAATAACCTCCAACCAAAAAAATAATAAAAGAAAGACTAAACCACCCTTCCTTGATTTTTACTTACGCCTCTCTCTCCTCTAGACAAGGTGCGGCTCGATAGATATACACGGCAGTCCGACACTATTCTTTATGTATAAACATGCGGTCTGACAAATGTACATTGTGGTATGCTAATTTTCCTTGACAAAATATGGTATGCCAAATCCCTATCGCGGTTCAACACTTCTGTTCCTTAACAAACATGCGGTTCGACATATCCATATGGCAGTTTGGCACTTTTATATATCTGGTTTGGCAGATCTATATATGCGGTCCAATGGATCTATATGCGGTATGGCAGATAATGAAGGTGGTCCGACACTTTTTTTAGTTTAATGGGGTCTGCTGATTAGTGCATGGTAGTCCCGCGATTGACTTTTGGTACTGTGCGGAAGCCACGTGAATGTTCGGCCAAAAATAAAATTTTAATGTACCCAAAAACGTATTTTCATCAAAAAAAATGTACCTTGTTTTACTAAGAGGGTATTTTTTAGAAAAATATATTTTGGGGTAAAAAGTGGGAAAAAAAGTTTGGTTGGGGTAAGTTGCTCTTGGGAGTTTTTTTTAATTTTTTCTAAAAAAATAAAAAAAAAGAGAGAGAGAGAGGGAGCTTTGAGAATATTGAGCTATGGAGCAAAATTGCTAAAATATCAATTGGAGAGAGAGAATTTGGCATAGAGAGGGGGTTTTGAGAATATTGAGATATGAAGCAAGTTTGCTAGAATATCTATGTAGAAAGAGAGATTTGGGGAATACAATAGGCAAATATCTAGGTAGAGAGAGGGATTTGGGGAATATCGTAGGGGCGAGAGGGTTGATTTAAGGAATATGGTGGGGAGAAATAGGGTGAAAGAGATTAAATTGAAGAAATGAGATGGAGAGATAGAAAGATAATAAAATTAGTAGAAGTAGTTAGAAAAGATATGGGGATTTATGTTTTCACTAAAGGCCTGTTTGGATACAAGGAAATTAGGAATATTAGATATTTGAAATTCAAGAAAATCTATGAATTTTCAATATCAGGGATTTTTATCATGGATTTATCAAATCTCTTATTTGGATAAACTGTATAAAATTTATGGATTCCTTGCAATCACTTCCATGTCCATTGTTTGGTAACAAAACTTGATACAATTTATCTCTCTAAAAAAATTTATATACTCTCTCTCTAAAATTCAAAAATTTAGATAGTGTATCTATTGGAAATTTGAGATAATTTCTCTCTCTAAAATTTTGAAATAGTTTCTCTTTAAAATTTGATATTGTGTCTCTCTAAAATTTGATATACTTTCTCTCTTTAAAGTTTTAAATTCTAGATATTTTCTCTCTCTAAACTTAAATTTTGAGATAGTTTATCTCTAAAATTTGTTGATAGTTTATCTCTAAAATTTGTTGAGATAGTTTCTCGCTCTAAAAATTTCATATATTTTGATATATTTTCTCTCCAAAATTGCAATATACTTTATCTCTCTAAAACATAAATTTTGCGATAGCTTCTTTCTCCAAAAATTTAGAGATAGAAACCAAAATTTTTGAGATAGTTTCTATCTCTAAAATTTTTTAGGTAGTTTATCGCTTTAAAAATTGATATAATTTTTATTTTTAAAATTTTAATATATTTTCTTGCTCTAAAATTCTAAATTCGAGATTGTTTCTCTAAAACTCAAAATTTGAAATAGTTTCTCTCTCTAAAAAACAAGATATTTCCCTCTCTAATTGTTTTTGGCAATTTCTCTTTCTAGAATTTATAATGATTTATCTTTAAAAATTTAATAATACTTTCTCTCTCTACAATTTTAATAATACTTTCTCCCTCTAAAACTTAAGATTTGATATACTATCTCTTTAAAAATTAAATTATGAGATTGTTTCTCTCTCTAAAAGTTTTGAAATAGTTTATCTCTCTAAAAAATTAAGAAAATTTATCTCTCTAAAAATCTGCATGTACTCTTTAAAATATGATAGTTTATATTTAAAATTTAAAATTTGAGATAGTTTATCTCTCTAAAATTTTTAGATAGTTTCTCTCTCTAAAATTTTGAGATAGTTTGTATCTCTAAAAAAAATTGGTACTTTTGCTCTCTAAAATTTTATCTTATTTTCTCTATCTAAAAGTTAAATTTTGAGATAGTTTATCTCTCTAAAATTTTGAGATAGTTAATCTCTCTAACAAAATTGATACTTTTTCTTTTTAAATTATAACATATTTTCTCTTTCTAAAATTTCAACATACTTTCTCTCTCTAAAAGTTAAAATTTGAGATAGTTCTCTCTAAATTTTTAACATACTTTCTCTCTCTAAAAGTTGAAATTTGTGATAGTTTCTCTCTCTAAAAATTTTGAGATAATTTTTCTTTTTAAAAAATTTAGGTACTCTCTCTTACACATTTTCATACCTACCAAATGCTCCCCATGTTTGGGGTTAAGGGAACCAACGAGTGAAATCCATGGGCCTTGAAAATGCTAAAAAAAGGGTTTTGGTGTGGAAATGAAATCATGGAAAAGTAGGTCTTATTTTCATGATTTTCATTTTCCTGATTTTAAGTATCCTAATCATTAAGCAATCTAAAATGTGGATTTTGGCAAAATCCAAAAGATCAGGCATCCATGTCTTGAAATCCATGGACCCAAACAGGCCCTAAAAGTATGGCCCTCAAGACCCTAATTAGTTGGGGATTTATGTTCTCACTAAATATATGGCCCTCAAGACCCTAATTAGTTGGGGAGTTATGATCTCACTAAAAATATAGCCCTCCTCAAGACCTTAATTAGTTGAGGATTTATGGTTTCACTAAAAGTATGGCTCTTAGGATTTGTATTGAACTATAATTTGTGTATCCGACCCTAGTTAGTTGAAAAATTGCTTTAACGATGGAAGACAAACCAGTTGTCTTGCAATAACCTCGCTTAAATATTAATTTGGCACAAATATGAAGGAGAGTTATAGAGAAGCAAAAATATGCGAGACAATAAGTGATTGGAGATAGGGAGAGAAGACTTTTTTTTTTTGCACTAAAAAAGTTTTAACACTAAATAAATATATAGAATATATAGACATATACAAAGAGAGACTTAAAAAAAAAAAAAATTTCTTAATTCTCCCAAAACCAGAGAGAGATGTGGTGGTTGAATTACCTTGTCATCGAAGATATTTTATTGTCATTTTCTCATAATGAATTGAGCGCCATTTTTTTATAGAGTATTATTTACTTAAAATTTTAAAGGACAATTTTGCATCAACTCTTTTTAAATTACCCTTATTTTTGCAATCTATTAGTATAATATATTTCTCACTTTATTTATAATAATTTTTTATTTTTTTGTTTTTTTATTTTTCATTCATTTTACAAAAAAATTCAATTAAATGATATAAAAAAATAGTTTGATAAGATTGTTTATTTATTAAAACAAGTAAAGCCTCACTTCATACCTCATCGAAAATTATAATTCAAATATTAGAAAGCCTTTACATCAATTTTTGGCTTGAATATTATGGTTGTAAAAAAAAAAAAACTTTAAAGTTTTAAAAATAGTGTTATGGTAACAAATTATCTAGATCTTCTATTTCACTCTATTTCGCTCTAAAAATAAATGGTCATATATCCATCAAATCTGTGCCATTTTTTAAGTTTCGATTTTCATTTTTAGTATTAAAAATTGATTTTAAAACCACATTTCTCCAAAGTATTTTCGGACGAGAATTTAAGATGAGGGTTTATTTTGTTTTCATAAAGCCTAGGTCTTATAGAAACCTCATCCTATAAAACTATTAGTCTTAAAGGTCACTGGTATCTCTCTCTAAAATACCTCCGCTTTATCTCTCTCTAAGGGAACAATCCCCTCTATTTTCCGCCATTAAAGCACCTTCCATAGCTTCTCTGCAACTGCAACTCTTCTGCAATACTCCATCAGCCAACATAGATCTTCCTCTCAGAAGCTTCCTCTCTGTTAATGGTTATTCCAGGGGCTTCATTTCCATTCAACCTCTACTCATGTGACTGAAACGGCCCTGTAAAAGCTTCAGTCGCCATGGATTCTCCTTCTAGTTCCGAGTTCTTTCACTGGCTCAGTTTTTGAAGGTCTTTTGAAACTGAAACTCTTTGGTGAGAGAAGCTGCGTCTTCCATGAAATGTTGGTTGTGAAAGCTTCCATCTTGGGAGGGACGAGACCTTCTAAAACTGAAATTTCTCTCTGAACATCAGCATCCTCTGTAGTTTTTTGATATGGAACCTTGCGTTTATTGGGATACTGAATCATTTGGATCACTGTAACTGAGCGATCTTTTGCTTATTTGTGTTTTTTACTGTAATTGCATAGACGCTCAAAGATGAAGGCAGAAACTAAGCTTGATTCAGCTGTTTTCCAGCTTACACCAACTCGCACCAGGTATTTTTTTCTTCATTGTTCATTGTTTTCTGCAAATTTTTGTTATTCTGTATTTTTTGCAATCAGGTGTCTCTTTCTGGTTTCTTTCTTATGTTGTTGGTTTTTATGTTGAGAAATGCTTTAAACTGAGCAAAGTTGTATTGAATTTATAGGTATCCCTGGTATAGTAGTGTTGTAGAGGGTTTATCTGGAAGTGTTTAATTTTGATCTTATGTCGCTGTATACAATCTATAGGGGGTTAGAATGTGAAACTAACATTTTATGAAAGAATTTGATCTGCTCTATTCTTTGAAATATCGAATTATAGTTATAGCTCCGGCATCTTTTTTGTGTCAGAATTGAGGCTATGGTTTGACTGACTAATCCGGGATGGAGTAATTTGGTCTGAAGTTAGGGTATTTGTTATGGTATTTCTGTTTCTTAGAATAAAACTCTTGTTCTGAGCACTTTGATGTGTAGTTTTTTTTGCCTTTTGGGCTTTGTTTGGAGGATCTTCCTATTTTTGGCTTGATGTATTCTGTGTTCTAATTTTTCTATGATTTGATCTTATTTATTTTATTTATTTTTAATCTTCTTTTATTACGGACATCTTGTTGTTGCATTTGTGTTTAGCAATCATATTTTTCCATGGATATTTACTGTTGCATTGCATTTAGTTGTATTTCTTTTTTTCGTGCATTTTCACACTCTGTGGAATTTTTGTGTCCAATAAGTTTGGGACATTTGGGCTGATATCATTATAGTGTTTGCTTCCCCTCTTGGTGAATAACTTGCATTTTGCTTAAATATCCATAGTTATATAAGTGAATTGCATGTATGTTTTTCATAAATGTGTTGTATTTTTTGTGGTTGTAACTCTACACACTTGTTTAGTCTAATCAGGTTTATGACAAATTTTACAAAAGGATGTTTACTTATAATTGAACAGCAATGGGAGGTGGCTTATTGGCTAATCTATGTTAGCTTGATGTTAATTCAGTTCCTATTGGTACATTCTTAAGAGTTTGGCTAATATGTTCTTTTGATATATTTTAAACCTTTCGTCTACTGTAAGTATTGGGTTTTTTCATTTTATTTCATAGATTATACCAGATCAACACTATTGCTTTTCTGGTAATCGGTATACATCTTGTTGATAAGTTTATGGTCTAAATTCTTGGTTTTTTGTTCAATATATATGTGAGCCGAGCCAAACTTTTGAAATTCAGTGAAGATTTGTTTTATGTAAAAAGATGGAAGAAGGGACCTTTCACTGAATGGCATTTATCTTTTCTCCAACATATTTTTAGGACATTATATATCAGGAAGAAAACAGAGGACAGTAGCCCAATACAAAGCATTCTGCTTGTGAGAGGCTATAATATTATTATTAATTTTTCTGTGCTAGGAAAGGTTTATATATATTTATATATATATAAGAAAAAGCTGGCATAGGCTCACTAGCTCATAGCTACATATGAGCCCAACGGCCCAGATTCAATCTGGGACGATCTGACGGTCACAACCTCAATTCGTATTTGAATTTTAATTTTTTTCTACAAATCCAAATCACATGAAATTTTATGCGTCTATTATTCTCATCAAGGCACCCTTAATAAAAATATTAAAATAATAATCCGCAATAAATAAATTGGCCAAATTACCCCTACAAATTTTCCTGGTATTTTGGTCAATTTATTTATTGCAAATTATTGTTTTGCTATTTTTATTAGATTCTCGTATTTTTGAAGAACACACAACCAAAATTTCAAGTAATTTGGATTTCTAGAAAATAAAATAAAATTCAAATACGAAATAGGGTCGTGACCATTGGATCGTCCTAGATTGAATCTGGGCCATTGGGCTCATATATAGCTGTAGGGTAGTGGGTCTACGCCATCATTTTTCATAT